AAGACATTAAATAGGTATTATATATTTTTTTCAATTACATTCTTACTTTATCGAATAATTAATAAAAATATTTTGAATAATTTAAATATTATATTTATCACCTATAATTGGAAAGACGTTAAAATTTTTTTAAAAATTAATATTTTAACTAATTTTTTTAAAATGTAAATTAATTAATAATAATTTATGTTGTCATTTGAAGGGAATAGTTTGGGCTCTGGCTTTATTTTGTGTTACTAAAATTTTGCTAGGTACCAAGTGTCCACAAGTTTCATCGCGTTTATGAAGAGTTTGGATTTGGTATTTAATTAATTAGCTTATGAATTATGATGATCCAAAGAATGATCGATGACCGTAGCCTGGAAATTAAATGAACAGTGTTTAGGTGTTGCCACGTGCCAATTTTAATAGTGGAAGGGTCTTCGTCACTGTAAATGAAACACTAATTTTGATTGGCCTAGTGCAACCTCACCTTTAATTTCATCTCTATCACGGATCCTTTAATTTTGATAAATGGAACGTGAGACCCCATATCAAAGAAATTAGCATCAAAGGTTTAATATATTCTAAATTTATTTTGCAAGCTCAAAAACTTTATATATATGTTTTTTTTGGTAAAAAGACTCTTTTACCCTTCATTTGAAAAAAAAATAACATTGTGCACAAGACATTATCGTATTATTAATGCATGAACCTTATCATGTTATATATAGATATTTTATCCATATGCATAAGAAATTTGTATAATATTGTTTAGCTAAACAACACACTATATATAATCAAGGGATATTGTGTTATAAATATATGGATATTGTATTGTTATATATGGACTTTATATTATTCATACACTTAGAAACTTACACATTATTGTTCAACTAAACCACATAGATTATGTATAATGAATGGATGTTATATTATTAATATATGGATACTGTCATGTTTTATATGAATATTTTGTTATTTATATACTTGAGAATTTGTACATTATTGTTCAGCTAAACAGCATAAATTATTTATAATGAATGGACATTGTGTTATTAATATATAGACCTTATCATGTTATATATAAACATTTTGTTGTACATATACTTGAAAACTTGTACATTTCAAATGAGGGGCAAATGAATTTTTTTTTTTCACTTAAAAACATACTTGCATCTAAGGCCTTTGAGTTTACAGGATAAGTTCATATTGTATTGGGTCTTAGGTGCAAATTTTTTTGATATGGGGGCTTTAGATGCCATTCTCTCTTTAATTTTTCTGTATTATAAAAGATACTTGTCTTATTTATATACAGTAGAGAGAGTATTTTTATTTTCATCATATTTACAAAGTATTTTAATGATTATTATATCTATTTTTACCTCGTTTGTTTTTATTTAATGTTAGAAAAGTTATTAAATATTACAACATTTTATTTTTAAAGTATGTATACTCCCTTCATTTAAAAATAAAAGTATTTTTAATTAAATTTTATTTCTCAATAAATATAAAATGATTTAATTATGATGGAGACTTTTAAAAAAAGTATATGAATTACCTTTTAAAACACTAAAAATATCTTGTATTTTTTAATGGAAGAAATATCTAATAAGGGCTAACTTAGAAGTTTGTTGAATTTTTAAATAGAGTTACAATAGTTCTTTTGTAGGTTTATTTTATTAATGGGAAGGATAATAAAGGATAAAAAATTGAATTAAACTTAAGGGTTAACAGATTTGAAAATTCAAAATAAGGACTAAAAATATTTTAATGGATTGGTTTAAAATTTGCTGCTCTTATTTCATGATCAATGCAACCATCGAAACAAGATTTTTCAAATGAAATCCTCTAATTTTGTAAAGGAAAAACTTATCAAACATGTCACAATTTACAGTTATTTACTATTCTCATACACTTATTTGTAACCTTTAAAATACGAATTTACAAATAAGACTTGTTAATTTGTGAAGAAAAACAATTTTCAAGTAATGATATACTTGACAAATTTTTTCTTTACAAATTAGTAAATCTCACTTGAAAACTTTTTTTTTTTTGGAGATGGAATGAGAGTAACAAGCTTTTATATCATTTTACTAAACAAGCTTTGCTCCTTATATTAAACTTCCAATTTTTAGTCCTTATTTAAATTTAATTCAATTTTTGATCCTTTATTTTCATTCTCCCTTCATATATCTCGATATAGACTATAAAAAGGGTGGTTAATTAGAAGTTGGCTCATTAAAAATATAAAAAAATACTTTTTCAAACTGTCCTGATTAAAAGTCAAATATTTAGATATTATTAAACTAGACTTATATTTAAAAAGAAATTTAGAGGAAAGGGTTTATATAAGGTGGAGAAAATAATTAAAGAGGGCAAGATAAGGTCTTATATAAGTAGGCCATATATTTCTCTGTTTTTTTTCTTAAAAAATAAAATAAATGGATGGTTGAATAGATAGGGATAATAGTTTAAATTTTATAAATTTGACCCGTAATTGGTTCAAACTGGTTTAATTTAACACTTATGCTCTTGAAGTTCTCAAGTTCTAGTTTTATGTATCCACAAATTACTACGGAGAGTTTTAGATATATGTGGTCTAACTCATCAATGCAAATTAATCATAACCCAATATGATTTTGGAAGGCAGTTTGGTATTATAAAGATGATGAATTTGTTTGTGATCAAAATTTTCATAATATTTCTTGTTTTATAATATGATAAGATTTGGTTGAGAAATTTAAAAATTGATACTAACAAGTTTTATAACTTAATATTCAAATTCAGATAAGTCAATCATATCAACTTACGATTAGTCGATTAGACATTAAAATTTCTCCCATTTCTTTATCATCTTTTTTTGCCCCCTTCTCCTTTTTGCTTAAGATTCTTTGATAGGAAAGAGACCTAAACTTTTTGTTACATATCTTGATTTTTTTCCCAAAATATTATGTTAAAAAATATAAGGTATGTTTGGTCTTTTAATGTATATTCATGAGTTTTTTTTTCCAAAAGAACTATTAATTAGGTGTATTTAATATTTTTTAATTAAATCATAATAAGGATAAACATAGAAAGAATGTACAATTTTAAAATAATTAACTAGTTTACTCCCTCCATCTCAAATTATAAGACATTTTTAGGAAAGAATTATTGTCTCAAAATATAAGATATTTTAATAAAAATAAGATTTTATTGATAATACTTTTTTAATATTACCCTTCCCATATATTCTCTATTTTCAATATTCTTTCATTAATGGAGTATTAAAAGAAGGGAATTTTTTAAAATTTATATTTTTGTCTTAAAAAATTAAGATTGTAAAGTGTATATAATGAATTTTATTAATGTGTGAGATTTTATATAAAAGTTTATTATAATTTAGCATAGATGGAGTATAACTTAATTAAAAGTATTTTTATAATATTGAACAGATAAAGTGCATACTCACTCCATTTTTATTTGTAGGAGAAAAAATTGTATCACAAATTTTGAGAAAATTAGTTAATTATATTAATTGTATCTGAAAATAAAAGAATTGAACTACAATATCCTTCATTAATTTTGTTAATTAAACTTTCATTAATTATCTCTTATAACGATGAATGACAAAATTATGAAAAGTAATTTAGGAAGTTTGCAATACATATTTTTTGAAAAAAATAATTTTACTTATATAAAAAAACAAGCTACAAGTAATAATTTTTTCTATAAATAAAAATAAAGGGAGTATATCTTTGAACACTTGGGATGAATGAGACTAACGAGGTACCGAAATTTGTGTTTGTAAAGTAGATGGAGCACAATAATAATTTGGGGTGACAAAAGGAGATTTGAATTCTAAGGAAAGTAAATTGACGTGGGAATGTATAGAGAACTGATTGCTGTGGGACAGACATGAATGCAGCGAAGAATGACCCATGAAGAAGCCAAAGGAAGGGTCAAAAGGCAAGCTAAGGCGTGATCGAGGGTCTGCCAAGAGGACTTCACTTGTTGAGACGATAAGTGAAGAAAAGTCAAGCCCTATGATGAAGCCACAAGCCACAACGTTAAGATGGTGAAGTGTCAGCCTCCCACAACACACACAACACCACTCAAGCGTGTGTGAGAGTGACACACACACACACACACACACAAATATAATTGGATTGCATGGGAATCAAACGAACGTTGTCTCCAAGTGAAGACAGCCATCGTTCAAAATTTTTTATTGAATATGCCAGCCAGGTTTACAAAATTAGAACCTGTATAAAGCTTCTCAAGTTTTTTTAGCCTAATTCCTGCCACATCATCCTCAGGGGAAAAGGTGAAATGAAACCAACAAAAACACAACATTTATACTCCCTCCATTAAAAAATATAAAACATTTTTAATCAAATCTCACCCTTAATAAAATAATCATTTACTTTCAAACTAATCATATCTTTTTATATTTTTTCCTATTAAACACCTTACAATAAATACAAAACATTAATCAATAAGGGTCTTATATTTTTGAACATCTAATCTCAAAGTATGCCCTACATTTTTTAACAAAAGGAATATATTTTATTCAGCTTTTGTTATTAAAAAGTAAAAAGTAGACACAATGTATATAAAATTAAATAGATTTTCCATACGTTAATGTATATAAAATTAAATAGATTTTCCATACGTTACTTAAAATTTAAAAATAAAACACACTTCGTAATTTGTAAGTAGGATAAATTATTATACATTTTTATGTTTTATATTTATGATTGGATTTTTTTAATAATTGCACGTTTAAAAAGTGAGCTATGAACATGGCCAGATATAAAATCATTATGTCAATGGATAATGATCCGGCAACACCACCCTTTTATCTTGGCAGAGGTCTTAGGTTTGAACCTAGCAGGATGCGCGTGTCTCTTTTCTATAGCAATAGACTAGGTTAAGGATACAATTTTTAAAAAGATATAAAATCATTATTTCTAATCCAAAATAGAAGGATAAAGTGGAAAGCCCAACTTCACAACTAGGTAAGCAAAAGCAAAATATTAGAATGCCAAACAAACACTCAGATTTATAAACCGTGACTACGAAAAAAAAAAAATCATTCCGAATATACAATCTCTACAGCACAAGCAGACAATACACAAGTATACAACCACATCATAGTCAAAACACAAAATCCAACAAGAACAAAAGAAAAGAAAACAAATTTCTTGAGGATTCCCGATAGAAAAACAGCAATTCCCAGGGACTTCCCTTCAATTATAACGGCCATTCCTCAGATCGTCAAAAATAGCTTGCGAGAAAAGGATATCTTCAGTTCAAGTCACAGAAGTGACTGTCTGAGGAAGTAACAGCACGTAGAACAACACTGGGTTGATAGTACCATTTCGTCACTCAGAAATACAAAAAATAAACAATAATCATTACCCAATCACGGTTAGTACTTAGTTATCAGAGGACGCCAAAACATTGTACTCCTTCAAATGTCTTTGAAATTGAGCCAACTGGGTCTGCAGTTGAAGAATTCCAGCAGCCTTTCGTGACAAAACTGAATTTAATTTGATAATATAATCATCGAGTTGATTTCCTGGTTCGTCAGCATCCATGAGAAGATTCATCTCCTGCATGTACAGTCATCATCATGTTAAAGACAATGGCTAGCGTAGCAAATAATTTAAACAACGTAGAAGAGATTGTCCTTGCCTCTCTAACAAGGTCCATCGTCTCCTCCACTTGTCTCCTATGAGCTGAAACAAGATCTTCCTCTTCCTAATCAGTTAATAACCAAACAAAGCGATCACCACTTAGCAGTTAATCCCTGTAAAATATTTTCATTAATGAAGCATGTCCAGAATATAATTTACCTTTAACAGGGCATTTAGATCATCATCTGGATTATTCTTAATATTAACCTTTGTCAGATCCATACGTTTCACATGAGAGTCTATCTTCTTGTCCTCCACAGAAGCTAATCGAGTGGTGTCTACCTTCTTAGTTGTCTTTCTCATTCTGTCTTGTTCATATGTTGGCTTAAGGTAATCAACTTCATGTTCAGCTTCGTCATTTAGACCACCTCTTTGACCCCTTTGTGAGTCTGGATACACAGATGCAGCCACATTTCCTCCCACCCTTCCACTGGGAACACGATCCATATTAATTGGAGGAGATGGCTCTCTTTCAAGTTGTCTAGACCAACCAAAACGATTCTTGTCAGTAGAAATGAAATTTATTTCATCCTCACAGGCATCCTCCCTAGATAAAATTGAAGACGAAGGCAATGTTGTTGACTCTCTCAGGCTCAAGGATGAAGAAGAAACGGGATCTTTTCTGGAGCTATTCCCTTTTGACAAACTCTTCACCCTACAGTGCGACTGTCACTTAGAATTGCTCATGATATCATATCAGATGCATCACTTGCGTACATATTAACTTCACAACTAACATACCTGTCAGCATATCGTAAAGTGTTTAGAGTATGCTCACATGAACCTGAGCTCGGTGAAATGCATGATATCATTACAGTGCGTGAGTCACCCACAAAAGAATCTCGCAGGACTTCTGTCAATTTACTTCCTCTGAAAGGAATATGCCCCTGGTCATTGTCAAGAGCTCTGATGCATTCCTTTAAAGCAAGTAAGCTTTTATTGATTTCTGCACCTTCAATCCTGAAATGAAGTCAAGATCAAACTCATCAGTTGTATGGGTATTTTGATAATAGTTATTTTTGCAGACTTGCAAAAGATATAGAAAATAATGGAAGATGTTCTATTAAACTCTGAAGAGGGACAATGATGCAGCAATGCTTAAATTTGAAAACACCACCCACACCTTGTCTGCTTATCATTATCTGTAGTATCGGCACCGCGTTCACTTCCAGCAAGATCAATAAAAGACAGCTTGCCAACAAGTCGAGCAGGCTTTGATTCTGTACCATCGGCTGCTCTTTTGACACAAAGCTGAAGTATGGCATGTGATCGAGAGGATTCCTCATTTGCACCCGTTGTACCAGTACTTCTTGTAGCATTCCCCTTCTCTATAAATTCCCTGATTGCCTCAACATCAGATACTCTGTATTCTTGTAAGCCCACAATGCAAACCTGTTGTTTCCCATCCTCCCTCATGAACAGTTTTCTGCAAAAACGTAAACCAGTCAGCAGCTAAACCCAAAAGCAAGACATTTTGTGGCCCACAAGTTAATATGGCTTACTTTCGATCATTGAGGAGATCAAATACTTTCCCCCCATATATCTCGAAGAAACTAACAAACAATTGGAAACCTTGGTTCCGGTATGTATGATACATCAAATTTAAAATATCTTGGGATGCTTTAAGAGGAAGTGGTTGCATAGTATAGGTCTTCCCGCTTCCTGAAAAAAATAATGATCATGATATCCAAGATATTCAGAAAGAGTAAAGCAGCGTGAATAAAAAAACACATTAAACATGTTATCCAAAATATTCAGAAAGTGTAAAGCAACACAAATAAAAAGACATTAAATTAAATACAAAAGTTAGGCACTCAATAAATTAGCATAGAGGATAAATATAGGCTTATCCTGCCAGCTATGTAATAACACCATAGCTTGTTCTATTTAAGTCACCAAGGAGTTAACTTTGATATAGATTGAAGAAGTTGACAACAAAAGTAAAAGAAGTATTCAAAACAATGGGGAGAAGGGAGTACCAATGGAAGAGAATTTTTTTTTTTTTTTGGGTGGTTTCACAATTCTACTTAGTTTCAAATTTTAATGGTATTACCTAATTTCATTAAACATTACAGGGAAAAAACATTGAAGAAAAACATAAGGAACAAAAGATTGCTAAATCCTACTCTCTGTCAATTTCATGGCAAAAGGAAAGAAAAGGCAGAGTGGTTAGGTAGTTAAAAGAAGAAACTCCCGGAGTATTTCTCATAATTCAGTTCTTCAACGTATGAAATATGAATAGGTGAGTTTAAATGCAGCAATTTTCAATGATATATCTTCCATAAATACATTAGCTTAAAATCACAAAACTATGTAAACAATTGGTATTACCTAATTTGCTTAAAGGTTGAATATACCTTGCTATATTCAACCCTTAAGCAAATTATCAAGTATTCAAAAATAATAATAATAATAATAATAAGGTAACTACCCTCAAAATAATAAGAAACATAGAAATTTTAGTTTAAATCTTAGCAATAGGATGATAATCCTTTTTGTAAGTATTTGATAGTGTTAATAATCAATACATGCACTCCTATTTTTCTCAATCAACGTTAAGCAGATACTTGCCTGTTTGGCCATATGCAAAGCAAGTAGCCTTTGTTCGTTGGAAAATAAGAGGGACAATAGGTTCCACTGTCTCAGAATACACCTGTAGAAACAAAAGTGGAACAAAACACAATCAGAATGATCTAGTGATAAAGGGGGAATTGTCAGTTAATGTGGTAAAACAAGCTAGAGCTTGTTATATACTCACTTTATCATTTGAAACATCTTCATTCAGTACAGCATCAAAAACAAATTCATGTTTCTCAACATATTCTGTTAAGTCAACCTGTAAGGCATAGACATTGGAGAAGATTAAACTCAGATTGTACAAGCACCAATAGCTTATAGTTCAGCATGTCAAATTTCTAGGGGCAAAAAGTTAACAAAGATGTACCAACATTAGGTACAAAACACTCAGCAGATTGTATATTTGACAGCAGTTGGGAGATAGAGTGGAATTTTAAACTGACAGTCGAATATTTGAGAATTAAAAAGAGAGCTAGACCTTCTAAAAAGCTTAGATGCTGGGTTGAAACAGGTTGACTGAAATATTCATTGAAGTGGAAAAACAAAAAAGATGGTTTGGTAGCTCTGAGTCCATTTGCAACCTACCTAGTCACTTCCAAAAGGTTGTGAAGAAGTAAAAGATTTATGGAATGCTATTTAACATAAGTATCTTGTGATGAAGTCTAGATAGTAAAAATCCTCTGACTGGCCCCATAAGCAAGGAAGTACTAAAGATGCAGGTTTTGAAAATGAAGTGTGTAAAGAAAAACAAAGCCAAAAGAATAAGATGCTATTTTTGTTGTTGGGTTGACTTCTGAGCTTGCTTAATCTCAAAATTAAAAATGTTCATCACAAGCTACAGTGGAAGACTGAAACTATCAAATAACTAGTATTTGGACCCATGCAGCGCATACAGGATGCTCAAACAATAAGTTGACTATATTAGAATTTATCTTTTTCTATTTTAGGCACTTATAAGCCTTTCTCTTGGAATTTATAATTCTTAAGCACAATTCTCTCTCAAGTTGGAGTTTTTAGTCATAAGATGAACAGCAAATGTTCACAGGCAAGTAAACATATGGCAAAACCATGTGCTTTTATTAGAATATTGGAGATCAAATTCAAAACAGGTTTCATATTATGAAAAGATAGGTTCTTTAAGACACACAGACAGCCCACACCACACTCACTCACCTTAAGTTTCCTTTCATGAACCGTGAGAGCATTGGAATCTATGGTGATGATATCTTCCTCTTTCTTTGCCATTTCTTTTTTATTTTGTGGTCTCTTGCGAACCTGCAGCAGTGGTATTATGTCAAAATGCAATTAGCTCAAGGAACTAAAGGCCTTTGCCCTTTGCTGAACAGTAGTCCAATTTATAATGAAATGATTATATGAACTAACAAAATGAAAAGATGACTTTAAATAGCATACCACAACTTTGATCTTAGCAACATTGTTTGCTTTCTCTTTATCTGTTGAAAGACTTTTAAAATTGGTCTCAGTGAAGCCCCGAGCTTTGTTGACAGGTAAGGAAGAAAATGGCTCGGAATCATCAAAACTTCTACCACGAACAGGATGATTGGTTAAATACTCATCATGAATATCAGACATCTATTAAGAATCAGATAAAAAAATACCAGTCAGTTGCGTGTTATCAGTTTTCTCGACCATGATCTATAGATTGTATACTTCACCCAAGCATGAAACTTTTGTCCAATTAGCTACCTATTGCTCAACTAGTTCAGAAAAAGAGAATGCAATGTTAATAATAGAATAGGGCAACCTCGGCTTAATTCATACCCAATCCATATCACAAACCATCCATGTAACTACAGCAAACAAGCTAAAATCACATCACATGTATGCAAGTCAATGATACAGACCTCAGGTAAAAGTTCAGTATTGAAGGAATGCAGATCAAGAAGGCCATGAGTAAGCCCGCCGGGAAAGACTTGATCGTCATCGTTCTTCCTCAAGCTGGAAGACCGATATCCTCCAAACCCCTGAAGTCCTCCTACATAAGACCCAAACTCCTGCGCGCCCCCAAAACAATCCCAAATCAGCTCAGCCCAGCCCAGCCGATGCCATATTTGATTCAAGAGAAAAAGCTGAAAGTAAGGCTAAAATGGTCAAGAAGCAAAACGTTACCTGCGTCGAAGTGGACGACTGAAACCATCTTCCACGAGAAGTTGTCTCAAGAAAGTTATCAGAATTCTGACGCTGATGGTGCACTGAGGAATTAGATCGCGGCATCTGCCTCCCCATCACGCTCATACTCCTTCAAAATCCAATCAATCCCCCTCACTCTCAGTCTGCAAGAGAAGCTGAAGTGAGGATTGGTGGATATTTTTGAATGCTTATTTTCTCAGGTAACGAACTCAGCCGTTCGGGAAAAAGGAGGAAGAAAATGATTTTGAAACTTCAAAAGTCGAACCTTATGTCTCTCCCTCTCACGAGCGACACCCACAATAAAGGGGAAGAGTAGCGGCGCGTGTTTTCCACGTACAATCAAACAAGACAGTACAGTGCGTGGGCGGGGTCCAATAATTTTCCAAAAACCGTACCCACGGTCCGCGGATTCCAGTGATTTTGACTGAATCGCGCATGAGAATTTAAAGAAGCAGCGACGCCAGGTGTTATTGCGCGTGGACACGCGCATTTGTGAAGCGGTCAGTCATGTTGGGTAGGCAAATTGTCAACAGCAAAAGAGCCTCACAGCAAAAGAGCCTCGGGTTGTGTTGGTTGTGTTCACGTCGTCGAGTGCATGGCCCCACTCGGGTGCATCGCGGCATTTGATTAATCATTTGCTCTCTGCTAGTTTTGACCGTTGATTAGTGAGGGCGTTAGGCCAAGTTGAATTTTCATTTTCGTCTCAAATTGTGATATTTTTTTACGAAGAATGACATTGAATTTTTTTAAAAAATTAAACTTAAATAAATATTAAAATATTTGAATTAAAAAATTAAAAATAAATATCACAGTTTCCTTAGTCAATTGATACAAAAATTTGATATTTTTATTTCATCATTTCAATTGTCAAAATAAAAATTTACAGGTTGTAAAGAAAAAATTATTAAATATATAATTATTTGAAAATAATTTTCCTTAATAAATTAAGGAATAATAATTTGTAAATTTTTATTTTGAGATTGCAAATAAAGATGCATAAATTAAAAAAAAATCACTGGAAATGATAATGAATTTGACAATTTTTATATAAATTAGATTAGGTAATTTTTTCTTGTTTTGATGGTCGCAAATCATATAAGAGTAACAAGTTGTTAGACCAATTTACTACAAGATCTTTGATCCTTATTTTAAATTTCTAAATCTTTGGATCCTTTAGCGTCATTTTTAATTACAATTTGCATGTGCAATTGGCGTACATTATTATGATTTCTTTTGCTATCTACATCATTATTATTGTTTCATTTTAATAAAATTAATGTGAATCATGTCCATTGCACCGAATCTAATAAGTAAGATGCTTACTTTGATAACTTGTAAATAATTCAATTTGTTAACGTTTTTATATTATATTTTTTTTATACTTAATATTTGGAAAATTTTGGGAATTTTTTTGTCCTTGAACTTAAAGTAATTAATTTTTTTAAATTTATTTCTTATTTATTTATTATTATTATTTAAATTCTTGGGCGATAATTTATGAGATTATTAATTGGAAAGGATAAAATATATTTTTAAACACTTTTAAGAATATAACTATCATTTCTTAATAATTATGAAATTGATTAAGTATTCATTATATCAAGGATAGGAAGGGGGTACATACTATATAATACTAATTCACACTTTAATAAGGATCATGCTAAATGATTACATTTTGAGAAAAAACGATTAATTACAATAAATGATTACATTTTTTTATTATAATACATGGTGTACCTCTTCTTCATATCCCAAGTCCCAACTAAAATGCATTTTAGTTTTAAAAAGGTATGCAAGGGAATTTAATTGCAGTGTGTGGAAACCGAAAAATAAAGTTAACAAGCATTTAAATGATGTCGTTTCTCTTAAGTTAGCTTGCTATCTCTATGGTTGTTATTTGTAATCTTGTTTGGAAATTTAAAAAAAAAAAGTGACTGGCTTTGATTTGCCATAGAATTAAATTGATTAATTAATAAATAATTGGAGGCTGCGAACAATTCTTGAAATCGAATTCAAATTTCGTGTCAGCATAAAAAAACACAAAACTTTCACGCGCGTTTTGGACTGAAATGGAGTCAGTTGAACACATGAACGGGTTTAAATGCTTGATTCAAGCTCAGAATTAACAGAGTACTGAAAGATTCAAAATTTCACTTCTTAATTTATTTTAAATTGAATTTTAAATGTAAGATAGAGAAAGAGAAAGACTTTATTAGAAAAAGAAACCCACTTGTGATGGAAAATCACTTTCTAATGAAGGATATTAATAATTTAGCCACCTTTTACCTCTTCAAAATTTGAATTGAAGATTCGTGAAGCATCGTTGATTTTAAAAACGTGTGAAACATGAAGTGCCCAAAAAAAAAAAGTATGGGTCCTATATACTCTGGGGTTCTAAAGTTTGTTTGGGCCTTGGGCTTTCTTCTGAGTTGGGCCAGAGTTAGCATGCGTGGCAACATTTTTTTTTTTTTTAGGGATGCGATCACGTGACACACAATGTCAATGGTATATGGGACCTTATACCAATATGTGTGTGTATATATATGGGACTCATATTAAAAATTTATTTATAAATAAGTCTCACAGTTTTGTGAAAATGTACTCAAATCTCACAGGACTTGATTATAATTAATTTATCATGTAAAATGCTGGAAATGCCCTTAGACTCTTATAACAACATCATTTTTAAATATAAATTAAAACAAAAAATTTATAAAAAAATCCATCATCCAATCAAATTTGGGATCCCAAAAGTTTTACCAACCATTCAGCCAAAAACAATTAAAGCTCAAACTATCATCGCATGATGAACCCAATAACTCCATCTTAATCAATTATATGTTAGTCTAATATTTATTAAATAAACATAAAGATGTCAAAGAGCTTATATTTGTATAAACTCCAAAAATACTCAAATCAAATCATCATAGGTCATGGCATAATAATAAAACCTACAAGTGACACATGCCAAGGCAAAAAATGATTGGAGTCCATAGGCTCAAATCTTCGATGCCTTCTCTTGTGACCTATCGGAATCCTCACTTGAAAATTATAATAGGCAACAAATGAGATCTAATGTCTCAATAACAAATAAATATTCTAAATATACTAGTAATTAAACCCTTTTGAATATATTTCACAACCATATATTTACATACATAGGTACCGTTGCAAACAATTTCACAATCTAGTTCTCAAACATGAGAATAATGTTTTCACAACATAATCAATTTAGTTCAAATGATCAAACAATGCACGCGCGCTCACATACACACACATAGTGATGTAAGACCTAACCCATCCTTATGCCCCACGTCCTATCCACCACATATAGCTAGTTACAACCAAAATTGAGGATACATTTAACCAAAAGTACATTCACTAGGATAGAAAAGGCTTTTTACATCAATTAAAAATCACTTTTTACATCGGTTTTAAAAGAGATGTTGATGCAGCAGATGTAAAAAGGCTTTTTACATTGGCTATACAATCGATGTAAAATGTTACCTTTTTACATTGAGTGTACAACCGATGTAAAAAGTTGAACAAAAAATTTGAAAAAAAAATAAAACATCACTTCTTACATTAGTATAGACACAACCAATGCAAAAGGTGACTTTTTATATTGGTTATGTTAACAATTGATGTAAAAGGTTTGTGTTAACTTTGCAGGAGCTCTTTTCCTTTTGTATCGTGGTGTCTCATATTACTTGAAGCAACTCTAACAACCATGTAAAACTCTTGTCACTCTACCCAGCTTTTACCTTCAAGGTAACCAATTTTAACACTCCAGATAACAGACTGAAATCGGTGCATCCTGGAAATAGAGGCTTCTTTGCGTTATTACATAAGTTTTCATACACATATGCTTGCTTAAAGGCCTCTTCTCAAATATCATAGATCATGTCTTCTAACCGATCTTTATCCATATCTACTTTATTATCAATATTATCAACTACTATAAATTGAGACGTACTATTAGGATTCAATCGTTCACCATAACAAATTCACACCATATAATTCTTGCAAATCCCATCACAAATCAAGTGCTCTCTTATTTAGGAAACATCTAACCTCCTCTCATTCGAACAATTAACACAAGAACAATAGAAATTCCCACTATTGTCAATATCATTTTTCTTAGAAAATTCCAAAAACTCCTTAACCCATTATCATACACAATACTTGTTTGTCTAACATTCATCCAACTACAATCCATATGTCATTACCTAAAGAAGAATACAACTAATATGCATGTTATCACCTTCAAATTATTTCAAATATATAAAATCTTAAATCACGTAAGATTTTAAGTAATTTAGGAAAAAGAATAAAGTTGAAAAAATTTCGGTAGAGTTTTCCCTAAAAGTTGGACCACTCAAAACATTTAAAAAATTTTACAAGAGAAAGCTCATCATTTTTTACCAAATAAATTAACACAAACAATAACATAAAGCTTAACAGCACTTCCAACAATAATCAATATAAAAAACAACTAAGTTTTAAACAATTTAGGGAAAGAATACCATTGAATTTTTTGGCAAAATCTCCCCTAAAAATTGGTCCTCCAAAAAATTTAATAAGCAAAAAATACCACTCAATTATTACCATGAACAATATCAATAATACCAACGACAACAATTTAAACACATGCAACAACTTAACATTAGGATAGAAACTAATAGAACTTCCTAAGCAATTAATATACTATTCAATTATTATTATACTCAACTATCATAACAACTAACTAATCAAAGAATTGATAAAAATAATAGCATCAAATCAAACTAAAATGAAATTAATTAGCGGGCGATAAGGAGGAGTAGGAGGGGGAGGGAGGCCGATGGATGAGGGGAGGGGGAAGGAGTCGTGGGAGTGGGAGTGGGAGTAGGGCTAATAGACTTAAGGAAGGGTAAAGAGGCTGAAAGGGGAGAGGAGGAAGACCAGTGGCAAGGGGGAGAGCTTGATATAGTGAGGGAGGGCCAATGGTGACAGCAAGGGGAAGGGGCTGATGGTAGGGTCAAGGTGAGAATTGGGAACAGAGGAAGGAGGAAGTGATGGCACTAGAGAAAAGGGTAAAGAAGATGAATAGCCAGGAGAGGAAAAATGAAAACTGCCAATGGTTTAAGTATATTTGAAGATCTTTTTACATCAGGTGTAATAAACACCGAATGTCAAAAGTATGAATTTTTTTTTAATTTTAACAATTACTTTCTACATCTGGTGTCCCCCATCCAATGTAGTGAGTAAATCTTTTGCATCGGGTATACATAATACTCGATGTAAAAAGTTTAATTTTTTTTTATTTATCAAAAGCTTTATACATCGTGTAAGGACCACCCGATGTAGAAAT